ATTTGGCCGAAAATGGCCATATCGACGCATGACAGTCATTTTCAGCCTTCCGTGTGCCGTTCTGGCAGTGGTTGTCTACGGCAAGTGGGTGGAGGTGGCGGCTTGGGTGGGTTGCAATTTGTTTTGAATTCAAGGGTAATTTTGTTCAAAAAGTTAATTAATTGGGGTGAAATAGTAAAAGCCATATTCATGTAAATAAATTTAAAAAAAATGGCATTATTGTCCTAAAATTTTATTAATAAGGGATAGAATTGTAAAAAAAAAAGATAACCCTGGTAATCTTAGAATACCTAAGAAAATAGAGGTAATCAGATTACCTCCAATATTACCAATAGTAACCACTATTGGTATTTGAAGATTACCGATATCTTATATTACTTGACAACCAAACATGATAATCAAGTAATATAAGATGATTTAACCCTTGTAATATCACATAACCCCCAACCAAACGCTCCCTAAAAGAAATCCCAATGAAAAAAGGAGAACCAAATTAAACAAGTATATAAAGTTTACCTACATTAAAACTTCTTAAATCAACTAAACTCCTAATTAATATGGAAAACTACTTAAATGCCTAATATGAAACCCTAAATAAATAAATAAAGAAAATAAAGAAAATGGAACAAATTTAAATCCTAATTTAACAATATTCTTCCTACATCATAATATGAATAGAGAAAGGATTTGAAGATGATTTTTTTTTTTTTTCCTTTTATGATAAAAAGAAACAAAATTGTCTTTTTACATTAAAGATTTGTAATATTAGATTCGCCACGTCATCATTATGTTAAAAATGTGTGGTAAAAACTCTAACATTCATCATGTGGCGACACTGAAGTGTTTATAGCCGATGGTATTGAGTTGAGATAAGGCACATCATACCCCAAAATTCAAGAATGAAATTGTAATTATCCTGCTCATGTGAATTGTGTGTATTAGATATACAAATGAGATTAGTTTGAATCAGGTAATTAGGTCGGTGAGGTCCTAAATCCTCACGTAAAACATATACTATATAAAAGAAACTGTTTAATTAAACAATTTTTAAATAGAAGGGATTAATGTTAATATTTAGCTCAAACGCGAACATGAGTGGTAAACATGAAGGGCTTATAATTAAAGAAGTTTTTTTTTTTTTTTTTTTTTTTTTGGCACAGCACATCATGAATTTATTAAATTGAGTTTGGTAGAGAGCTTATACTAGTGTTGAGCCTTTAAACGAATCTTCAATTTCCAATCAAATTTTAAATTAACATAATTAACTTCGAAATTATATTAAAATGATACAGAAGGATCATCTACTAATTTAGAAATATATTATCAATTTTACATACCGTATTGCTACTAGCTGTCCAGTTATATATTATACGAGGTTCATGACTATATGTAAAAAACGTTTATCATGTGGTTATGCTGCCGACTCTCATTTCCTAACTTGTATCGGAAGACAGTATAAAAGTATGAACTTTTACATCTTGATTTGCACATGTAGAGAGCCAATATCACGTTGGATTCGATTTAGAAAAATAGATGAAATAATAAAATCCCATTATTTATTTGAATAATACTTTATATACAAATTGACATGTTTTAATATGATTGTGTGACTTTAAAATTAAAATTAATTAAATAATTAAAAAAGATATATAACATTACTCTATTTATAATAATCTTTTTATATTTGGATGATTTGCCGAATCAAATAGGGTAAATTTCAAGTTGCATTTTTTATTGGATCCTTTACTTACGGAGAAATCCCAATAATTAATGTTCCTTTGACCAACATTATATTGATTACTGGGCATTAATGACAACTTGTCTTCATTAATGATGCATTTAAAAAAATATAACTAACTAGTGACTCGAATCTCATCATCCGCACGTTAATCGTCTAGTACTTTTATTAAAAATTATAAATGAATGAATGACAATCAACTTAAATTCCAGAATTTTACAATTTCAGAACTTATTAGATTAGTAATAACTTTATTTAAAAAAAAAAAATTGTCTCATTTTGATTCAGTTGGATTCTCCTAGTTTCTGGAGATTTTTCAGTTTTTATAATTAAAATCTTCTTTTTTCTTTCGAGTATTGAGATTTTCAGTATAAATATGGCTATAAAAATTAAGACATTTTTTTTTTCACGTTCTATTATAATTAATTGATTTCTATGTTTATTCACTTTCGATAAGTCGAATCCTAACTCTCATACAAGTTACACAACAAAAGCAGGCAGCAGCTGTGGTGCAGCTTTGAGTAAAGTTTATAATTTCCGATATGCCGCCTGCCTTTGTTGCTAACACGTCGCCTTAAATTTTTAGAAATCTTCTTAATACCCCACAAGACTATAACGATACCCACAAAAATACGGAGTTCGCTGGCCTCCACTCTTTCTGGAGACTGCCAAGACTATGTAATCCACCATAATTAAACACACCATATATTGAGGTTGAAGATCCTACCAATTCCATTTGTTAGAACTACTATATGGATTCCAGGACTACTTGAATGAATCATTCAACTTAAAAAGAAGAATGTTGAAGGTATAGAATAATAATAATTTAAAAAACTCTATCCGCTACAAGTCTGCAACATCAAGATGATTTTGAAAGGATTTGAGCTTTTAATTTTTTTTTTTTTAACGTGTTCTTTAGCATAATGGAGCACACTGAAATTGTAAATACAACCATGAAAAATTCCCATTTGGTCACTCTACGCCGTCCTTATAAAATTTAATTGCATTGCAAATGATGTGATTATTTTAAAAATATTATCATGAATCACATAATCGCACAGTTCATATATAACGTTAAGATAGCGTCACTTTAAAATACATAACATTGTTTAGAGTGATAGCAACTAATCACTTCTAGATTTACATTCGAGAAGAACTTTGGATAGGGAACGTAAGAAAATGTGATGATCGATGCTCATGTCTCTACATATAAAATGTAGTTAGATTAATAAAAAATAAGTTGTTTGACCCTTCATGTAAAAGCAAATTAATGAATTTGTACAAGTCGGATGGGGCGATAGCAAACAGCTGAATCTTGAATTTTAATTGTATGATTTTTTTTAAGAAATAAAAATAAGAAAACTGGTCTCTCACGAAGCCCCATCCTGAAGCAAATCCCTTTCTTTTTCATAATGAAGTTACCCAGTGATGACTAGGTTTTGTAAACAATAATAAATTTCCCCTTCTTAATAATTCACGTTTATTAAAGTCTTATAAGTTAAACGAAAGTTAAATATGCTATGTTTTGGTATGAAAAATTGATGTTTCAAGAAATCACTATTAAATATGCTAACCGAGCTGAGGAATCAGCTGTATGTAGAATTAAGAAACCTCTTAGTACACATCCATTGGCTAGCGGCCAAAAAGATTCCTATTGATTTGATCAATTATATATAATCCACATTACTTTACCCAAGTAAACCGGTCTCTCACGAAGCCCCATCCTGAAGCAAATCCCTTTCTTTTTCATAATGAAGTTACCCAGTGATGACTAGGTTTTGTATACAATAATAAATTTCCCCTTCTTAATAATTCATGTTTATTAAAGTTTTATAAGTTAAACGAAAGTTGAATATGCTATGTTTTGGAATGTAAATTGTATGTTTCAAGAAATCACTATTAAATATGCTAACCGAGCTGAGGAATCAGCTGTATGTAGATTTAAGAAACCTCTTAGTACACATCCATTGGCTAGCGGCCAAAAAGATTCCTATTGATTTGATCAATTATATATAATCCACATTACTTGGTAAAAGAAATTTAAAAAAGAAAAAGAAAAAAGAACTTGATTCTTTTTAGGAATATTTAAAAATAATATATGTTATGCCTGGAAAAATAAGGCTGACGCAGAGTCTTGTCAGCACAGGGTGGTCAGAAATTAGAAAGGTTTCACGACCGCTCAGATGCGGCTACGTCGCGTGATGACGTGAGTGGCATACTCCTACTAGTGTAGTGGGTGTATGCCAGGTTGGCGAATGGTTAGAAATGGTCTATGTGTCCAATTCCTACACAAGTTGAGGAAATCATTCGGGCAGGTGAGCAATAAGACGCAGAGAAAGATTTGCACGACATCCACCTCACTTGCAGATTTGGTAATCATTACCTTGATTCATCCCACTATAATATATAATATAGATAAGTTATAATAGTATATTTATAAGGGCAATATGATATTGGCAAAGAGGAATAACGTGGGGCAAAGCCGATGAGGCAGAGACACATCCATTGGCATCCATTGGCTAAGGGCCAAAAAGATTCCTATTGATTTGATCAATTATATATAATCCACATTACTTGGTAAAAGAAATTTAAAAAAGAAAAAAAAAAAAAGAATTTGATTCTTTTTGAGGAATATTTAAAAATAATATATAACATAGATAAATTATAAGAGTATATCTATAAAGGGCAATATTATAATACGTGGGGCAAAGCCAATGAGGCAGAGACTTTCTTCCTAGTCGTAGAAAAAGGCAAGACCCCGCCTACAAATGAACAGATCCAATTGAAGAAAGAGGCGACATTTTCACACATGCCACTACAACTTTTATGGTAAACGCTCTATAAAATTCTTCTTCCTGTCACACTGGGAAAGCGAAAGCTCATTCTCTCCAATTATTCAGGTAAACTGTATTTCAATATGCTATGTACAGTACTGTCTCCTTAATTAATTCTTAACATTGAGAAATTCTTTGAAATATAGAAATAATCCTGCATTGTTTTGGGTGCAATAAACGAGATCTAGGTCTTGGCGTCTTGCCTTGGAGATATTTAATAAGCATTGTTGTTTTTAACCTTCAAGTTTGAAGCTTAATTGTTCTTAAGGTTTTCATGGATGTGTGAGTTGGGATCGATCTTAATTTGATTCTTCCTCATTTTACTTTTAATTTCGAGTCAAAATTTTGATCTCCATCACATGCAGTTACATATAGGAGTGGCTTCTTTGAACTGCAAAGCAATACGATAAATATTAGGAGTGGCTTGAGTCTTGAGATCTGATCAAGGTTTAATTACTTTCTATTGGTGTATCGAATCAAACTAAGATACTTCTTCGTCTAGCTACTGTTTCAGGTTCAATTTTTAAGGTCCATTTCTTATGGAAATCGCATCGGCTAAATGGTTATCTGACCTGGTAAGACAATTTAACACTGTTTGTTCGTTTTCCCGGTATGGATTTGAATTTCTTCATTGGTTGTTTGTTTAATGGTAGTTCTGATATGATTCGTAGGGAACAGAGGATTCCACCTTTTTCCATCAAGAGCAAATGAACCCTCTTGATAACCAGCTGACTGGAGTCAATTTTTTGCAAATCACACACAGCAATCACGGTTTTTACGCTGAAGCACCTTCTCGTCACGCCGTTGTTGAGAGGTCAGCAAAACAGACTAATGGCTTGAACTCTTGCACAGCTGACCACATCACTTCTAATGCTTTAGTCTCCTCTCAAATTATTTCTTTTGGGAACTCCACCTCGTCTCCGCCTATTTCTCAGCTTGTCTCCGGTACTGAATATGCCATGATTCCAAAGAATGAGCCTAGGACTCCTTTACATGCTCAAGAGCATTTAGTTGCGGAAAGAAAACGCCGCGAAAAGCTTTGCCAACGGTTGATAGCTCTCTCAGCTCTTGTTCCTGGGCTGAAGAAGGTATAACTTCTAAAATCTTTTCACTAGAACTTAAAGGATTCGTATATGTTCCAATTTATATTTTATTCTAGTATTTTACAAGATGTTTAACATTTTCTTGGTACTTTTGCATTCGAATTGTGACCAGAATAATTTGGAATAATGTTAATTGCCTTGTAAAATTGAAAACAGTCGATATATCTGGTAGAATGAATTCCATACATAGTATAACTTTTTCCCGGAGGAATTATTAATTATTAAACTTCAGATTCTAAGTACAACTATAGTAAATTTTATATGAATTGTGAATGATAAAGTTGTATTATATCTGCAAAACAAGGCGCCTTATATAACTTATAGAAATTTGAATTTCTTATATGGTGCACACTACATATAATAACATACCTCAAAATTATATGTATGACGATAGATAAGGGCTACACAATAATATATCAAGAAAGAATATTACTTACCACGTTCATTCCCAGATGTAGAGGATAGATATTGTTAATTTTTGTGAAAAGAGTCTAATTTATTATCTTTGAAATAATACACATATATGTCGTTAAATATGAATGATGATTTCATTAATTTGATGATGTGAGACACAAAAACAACTAGAAAATATACCATACAGTGGGTTAAAACCCATAAATAATAACACGATTAACATGGCTTAAGCTCAAATATAATAATAGATACAATCTCTTGATTTTGTAAATAGACATTTTGAGTTGAGTTTATATACTAATTCAATGTCTTCAAAACTTTCCTCTCGTTTCTAAAGCCAAAAGGGAATGGAGCTCCTATGATTACGCTGTGATATAAATATGTCTTGATTAGATGTTTATTTGCAGACAGATAAGGCTTCTGTACTTGGAGACGCTGTCAAGTACTTGAAACAACTTCAAGAACGTGTGAAGAAGCTTGAAGAACAGGCAGTAAATAAAACAATGGAATCAAAGGTTGTTGTGAAGAAATCTCATATCTTTATTGAGGGTGAAGAAAGTTCTTTGTCTGATGAAAAGTCTTATCGCCAATCCAACCAATATCTCCCCGAAATTGAAGCCAGAGTTTCAGATAGGGACGTACTTGTTAGAATCCATTGCGAGAAGAATGACGACTGTATTGTAAACATACTTACAGAAATTGAGAAGCATAATTTAACCGTCGCCAAAAGCAACGTTTTACCATTTGGAAACTCAACTCTTGATATAACTGTTGTCGCTGAGGTGCATTCTACCTCTTAAGTCTTTCTTATATCAATATAGTAATAGTTATCTTTCCTCTTTGTTCATTTTATTTTATTCTTTAATTTTATTTAGATTGAAGAGATTAATACTGCCTGGCAATTATATATTGCAGATGGACGTTGAATTCTCCATGACAGTGAAAGATCTTGTGAAAAACCTTCGATTAGCTCTATTGCATCCATCTGCCACAAAAAAACTGTGTTGATATTGTGACGGTGAAGATTACATATGTATACAAGTAATTCTGAGATGATTTATTTAAGAAGATTGTGTGGAACAGTCTAATTTAGCCGTAATTAGCTCTTAATTAGAGACCATCACGATCTTCTATGTCCTTTGTGATTAAGTGGATTTATTTTGATTCGTGTTACATGTACAAACAAAATACAAATTCTACTATAAAAATTTGATTTGACACAATATTGTTATTGCCACATTATTCATTTATATTAATTAGTATTTATTGAATTGATTTTGTATATATATTCATTTATTTATTTTGTATAATATTAGTTTGTATGAAATAATTTATATAAAGAATTTGTCATCTAGTATTATTTGTTTATTTTACTTCCTAACTAAGAGTTTTTTTTTTTTTCCTCACCGTACTTTGTGTATAGTTGACCCGTTAAGCTGCCTTTGAAGGGTGTCTTTGAGAGATTATTTTCAATAATAATGTCTGTACTTTCCAAAATTATTAATCAGATTTGAATTTTAGGGATATTAGTCAAAAACAGCCTTTAACATTTGAGAGTTATTCAAAATGCACCATTGAGGCAAGCGTGGTTTGAAATTCATTAACAGTGATAATGAAATGACAATTTTACCGTTAGTTTGTAGAGGTCAAAACACCCATCTAGATCCAATGAAAAATACAATCTTAATCGAAAATAAAAACAAAGATAGAGAAAAGAATCCCAAGAACTTCCATAAAAATAAAATAAGTGCAAGATAATCCATAATCAATCAAAATTACAACGTGAAAAGAATTATTATTTTTTTCCCTAAGAAAACATATTCATCTCTTTCTCATGACCTCCATATGCAAAACTCAAATTCATACGTTTCCAATGACCAACATGTTAGTCGCTGGTGGGGTTTATGTAAGTAATTGATCTATCATACGTAGCGGAAAACAAAAATTCAACCTGTAAATCAATTACCTTTCTTTGCCTATATCCGAGTATATATTATACTGTTTACATGTTTATAAACAAAAATCTGTATAAAGTAAATCAATTCAAGGATTAGAATACTTACATACGTTTGGAGGCTCCTTCGAATATCTCTGATTTCGGACAAGAACACTGTTTACGGTACTGTTTATGATTACTGTTCATGGTTACTGTTCACCATGTACGGTTCATGGTTACTGTTCACCGTCTACTGTTCATGGTTACTGTTTACCATTTATTGTTCACGTGATTTTTCGCCAATCGATCCAAAGTAGGATCGTATTCACGGAAGTCCACACGAAGATAATCCGCAGATCTCTTGATTATTTTGCTAGAACAATCAAAGGCTTCAAGAATCAAGTAAGAAGAACAAGAAAAAATTTCTTTTTGAGAGAGAGAGAGATAGGGTGGCTAGGGTTTTAATTGAATGAATGTTTCTATTGTTTTAATTTTAAGTTGCACTTATATAGTGCAACAATTAAAACTCTATTCCACTTAGGAATAGCTATGGGCTCCAACCCTAGTTCACCCTTGCAACCAAACACACCCTTTAGGTATTTTAATTATTAAATATTATAATTAAAATTAATTAATATATAATAATATATTAACATTCAATTAATAATAATAGTTCATTTAAATATACACATAGATATATTTAAATATAATCTCACTAATTTAATTTTAATATTAAAATTAAATACAGGTAACAACCTTAGCAAATTTAATTGCACTGTGAGATTACCAAAATATCATTTCATCCTAAAAGACGAAAATACCCTTCTCACAAATTGATTCTTAAATGATATCTCTAAATGTGTGACCCGTAGGCTCCTCATCGTATCGGCAGTGAATAGCATTGCGATTAACACCAATTAATCTTCTCACTACACACAGACCAAGATTGGCCCCTAGCAAGGCATCATGGCCACCCGATAGATTCAGATTTAGCGAAACCGCAGCCTGTCAACGGTTTGGTTATCGTGCAATCAAATCATTTCATCAACTGTTATCTCATCGAAACTAAGGTACATAAATAGTGTCAACCTCAGATGTCCTCGACATGTTTGTATTCAGTTACTAGACCAATGACAGGAATATTAAATTGGATTGAGCATCAACTCAATCCCACTATGGCCACAGATTTAGTGTCATTGCCATTTACTGAATTACCTAGTGAGATAACTTCTCCCGTACCCAAGAGTGATGAATCCTTTGTCGATCCACCATAGTCTCGATACACTTTTCAATGTAGCCAATCATTACCGTATTGATAGCTCTGAATATAACTAAGTTGGGCTAGTGTCAAACTACACCAATTGGTGCACAAGGCGCTCCGATGATCTCAAGTCTAAGGATCATATGTACCACCATTTGTTAGAGGATTTATTCCATAGACACTGGGGTTACCATCCATATGGAATCCTCTGGTCGGTCTATCCAGTGAACTTGCCTCTAGCAAGCACCCATGCGTTGCACCAGGTTGTTGGCAAACAACCTTGACAAGTGAGATCAGTCACTGCCTTTCGATAGGGTCGTTCAACACTATAATAGCCTTACCGTATTATCTGTGTCCTTGGTTATAATAATACTGGGGCTACAGACATTTCTAGAATGGCCACCATATGTGATCATATGGTTCTCACTATCAAGATTTGAAACACTTGATAGCCTCGTCATGGTTCTACCATCCTAAGGACATATATCATTACATACACGATATAGAAGAATATGCCTTTTATTGATAAATAAATATTTATTACAGAGTCAATTTTATAATAATTGATTGGCTCTAGGGCACCTACTCTAACAGTTTACACAGTGAAAAAACAAGAATAAATCCCCACACAACAACATAGATGCCAAGGAACTTATACCAAGTTCACGTTATTTGAATAAGAAGTAAAAATCTAGAATTATACCTACGTTTGGAGGCTCCTTCTTCCGATGCGGATCGCTCTCACTCTAAGCCAAGAGTGCACTTTCGGTATCCACATGAAGACAAGTTGGGTGATCGCCTTGCGGTCACAAGTGCTAGCAAGAACGCAAGGATCAAGGATGCTGAATTTTTCTTGGAAAAATTCTCTTCTCCACCTAAAGAGAAAACATGAGAGAGAGAGAGGAGGAGGGGGGAGAGGGGGAAGGTGCTAGGGTTTCTTTTATTTTGCAAAGGATTATCTCATTTAATTTTAGTTGCACTTAAATAGTGCACAATAAAAACCTAATTTAATATGGAATAGCAATCTACTTAGCAATATTCCAATACCAACAAAGCATTTCAATTCAAATTTAAAAATTAAATTTGAATTCCATATATAAATTAATGTTAATAAATATACTATTATATAATATATATTATATATTATATATATTAATATATAATATATAATATATATATATATCTATATATATTAGATACTATACAATCGCACTAATTTAATTTCCTTATAAAATTAAATATAGGCAACAATTTCAACAAATTTAATTGCATTGTGAGATTATTTAAATGCCCTTTCATCTTAAAAGATGAAAATACCCTTTCATCATTAATGACGAAAACACCTCTCTCACTTATCCATCCTTAATTTGTCTTCTATGTGTGTGACCCGAATGCTCCTCGTCATATCGGCAGTAAGTAGTCTCGCGATTTACACCAATCAATCGTCTCACTAAACATAGACCAAGATTGACTTCTAGCAAGGCATCATGGCCACCTGATAGATTTGGATTCAGCGAAATAGGTTACTTATCAACGATATGGTTACTGTGCAATTCAATCCTTTCATCATATATTATCTCATCAAAAGGCCGAGGCATAGAAGCAGTGTCAACCTCAGATATCCTTGATATCTTAGTATTTGGTTATTAGACCAATGACCGGAATAGATTGGATTGAGCTACAACTCAATCGCATTATGACTATAGATTTAATGTCGTTGCCATCTACCGAATTACTCAGCGAGATAATTTCTCCCCTACTCGAGAGTGATGAATCCTCTGTTAATCCACTATAGTCTTGATACACTTTTTGATCTAGCCAATCACTACCGTCTTGATAGCTCTGAATAGAACTACTTGGGCTAGTGTCAAACTACACTAATTGGTGCACAAGGCGCTTCGGTGATCTCAAGTCCAAGGATCACTTGCACCACCATTTGTTAGAGGATTTATTCCATAGACGCTAAGGTTACCATCTATGTGGAATCCTCTGGTGAGTATGTCCAATGAACTCGCCTATGACAAGCATCCATGTGTTGCACCAGGATGTCAGCAAACAACCTTGACAAGTGAGATCTGTCACTGTCTTTCGATAAGGTCATTCAACATTGTGATAGCCTTATCGTATTATTTGTGTCCTTAGTCAAAATAATACTGGGGCTATAGACAGTTCTAGAATGACCACTATATGTGATAATAGGATTCTCACTATCGAGATTTGAAGCACTTGATGAGTGCTTGGAAGTGCACTCATACTTAGGGATTCTAAGGGTATTTTGTGTGGGAATTATGTTTAATTGGTTAATTTTACTTAGTTTCTGTATCTCTTTTACTTTCTAGAATCAGTGGTATGTTTTGTGAATTTTCAGGTATTTATGTGCTGAAAAATGAGGATTTCAAGTATGCATATTAAAGAGTAAAAAATCAGAATCGTGTGGGAACAAACAGTTCAAGAATCAGAGCTTAAACGAAGAAGTTATGGATTTTTGAAGATTGTTCGTTACAAAAAAACTATTCCCACGCTGTAGCATAAAAAAGTTGTAAAATGGACATAAACTTCATGCCGGGGCACAATGCGGGAAATTTATGTTTGGAAATTTTTCTACCAGAACATGCTGAACGAAAATGATCATAACTTGAGCTACACAACTCCAATCGACCTGGTTCTAGTGGCGTTTTAAAGCTAAGAGATAGAGCTACAACTTTTATGTTTTGATCATGGCCCATTTAGACCTGAAAGATGGATAAAAATGGAGATAGAAGTTAAATTAGTGCTTGGAGATGTGCAGATTTGTTATTATGCGTTTTTAATTGAAGTATAACTTTTTACCATAATACCCTCACGACTTTAATATTATAAATAGATGTCCTTAGCAATATTTTAGGGGGCTAGGGTTTATAATATCAAATATAATTAGGAAGAGGCAAGGAGAGGAGATCTTACCTAGGGTTTCATCTTCTTTTTCTTGTACTTCATGGTTTTC